GRAAAAAATYGCGCGCTATAAAGGTTGTAAATTTGATGTAAATATGATGTAAGTGTCATCAAATTTACMAYMTTTAAAGAGCGCGATTTTTCCAGTGTTTGTGTGTGACTAGACTACTGATTCAAAATTCGCAAGTCGGATATTGTGSGTTGGTTGCCTCATTTTAATATTAAAAGCAAGCTTCTTGACCATGACTCAGCGCGCACGTCCTAAAAGACGTGAAAGGTCAACTGGAGAGTAAAAATGATTTTGAAGTTTGTTAATCGTCAAACCTGGGAAACTCGTTCTACTACTAAAAGTGTTTCGTTACTGAGATGTAATGATGGTATGACACCAAATGGTGCTCCAGGCCCGAAGAAGCTACTGCAGCTAGCTCGCTGCGGTAATTGCTCCCAGTACTTATCCAGGTACGAATTTCTAACAGTACAATGTCTTGCAGCTCCACTCCGCAATGTGACTTCGTTATCTTCTTGAGAGGAAATGGGTGATTTTATTAAACGCTGTTCGCTATTCTGATTTGATTCCATAGAATCATCCATATGAATCTCATGCGCATTCTCTTTTGGCATCAATATGGGGATGAGAAACAGTAAACACGCTCCAAGGGTTGCACAAGCACCAGACGCATAGAAAGCAATCTGGTACGAGTCTGACAAATCGTATACCCATCCTGAAATGCAAAAATGGAATTGTTTGATAAATAGTCTGGTAAAGTGGCGAGACCGTTTCGTGGCTGCAGGATGTGCCCTCCCCCGGGATGCATCCCTTCCTTTTAAAGGACGATTTACACCGTGCGACTTGACGAGACATCCCTATAAGGACGTGTCGTAGGATTTGGAGCCTGAAATCCTTGGAACATAGATTAGCAGCCTTATACTATCATTTCTTTCCTTTTTCACAATTGTCTCATACCTCCGTTTAACATATCAAAGAATTGCCCCACAAAAGTTATCCTTCGTTTAGCAGCCATATATGGTAATCTTACCTTATTTGGAAGTTCGATAGGAATGGTTTTTGTCGATTTTCTCGACTTTTAAAGCTTGAAATCGTCGGAAACTTGCAGATATTATAGCGAAAACACTTCTAAACAATCCGCCATTTTGTTTGTTTCCATATATGGCATGGATTCGCTAAAGGAAGCCCAAAACTAAAAAGCACAGGGAACCCGCACGAATGATATACAATTCTTTGATATG